GAGGATAGGTGTTACGTGGGTGAACCGAGGTGCACCCACGATCGCTCGCGCGGCTGCATTCTGGACAAGCTGAAGTCTCCGAATGCTCTTCAAGGGCTGTGCCATGTAGAGCACGTTGCAGTAGTCCAGTCTAGAGGTCACAAGGGCACAAGTGACTGTTGTGAGGGCCTCCCGGGTCAGGTAGGGACGCAACTGGTGCACCAGGCGAACCTGGGCAAATGCCCCCCTGGTCACAGCCGACAAGTGGTGTTTGAAAGTCAGCTGTGGGTCCAGGAGGACTCCCAAATTGCGAACCCTGTCTGAGGGGCGTACTGTTTGACCCCCCAGCCTGAGAGATGGAAAACTTGGCCAATTAGTGGGAGGGAAACACACCAGCCACTCGGTCTTATCCGGATTGAGTGCAAGCTTGTTATCCCCCATCCAGACCCTAACAGCCTCGAGGCACTGGCACATCACGTCAACCATTTCACTGAGTTGGCACAGGGCGGACAGATACAGCTGTGTATCGTCCGCATACTGATGGTATTTTATCCCGTGCCGTCGAATGATCTCACCCAGCGGCTTCATGTAGATATTAAACAGGAGGGGGGACAGGACCGAACCCTGCAGCACCCCATAATTCAGGGGCCTAGGGGTCAATCTCTGCCCTCTGACCAACACCGACTGTGACCTGTCCGAGAGGTAAGAGGAGAACCACCGTGGAACAGTGCCTCCCACCCCCACCTCCCGCAGTCGTCGCAGAAGGATACCATGGTCGATGGTATCGAAGGCCGCTGAGAGGTCAAGGAGCACTAGGATGGAGTCATAACCTCCATCCCTGGCTCTCCAGAGATCATCGGTCAATGCGACCAAAGCGGTTTCCGTGCTGTAGCCAGGCCTAAATCCCGACTGGAAGGGATCTAGATAATATATTTTTCTGTAGAAGACTGAGCTGTTTTAGCTGGCTGAGCTGTAACTGCTCCTTCTTGAAACTGGCTTGTTCTTTTTACAGGATGTTATGTTGTACTAACCCATTTATGGGTTTTCTATGAAGGTGCCTGACACACATCTTGTTAATTACACTTAATAGGGGCAGAGGAAAATTGGAGGATTCTTATCTCCTTTTCTGTAAATTGAAATAATGATGAATTTGTTTCAGTCTTCATGGATCTAGAAAAACTACTCTCTATATAGAAAGAAAGCTATCAGAATTGGTGTTCCCTTTTTGCTTTAGCCTTTTTGTATGATTAGATCCTTTCAGGCTGCTTTGTCATTTTTTTAGTTGCGAGATAAACACGGCTATCTCAAGATGAAACACCTGGGCCTAGATTGCTAGGTCAGTGAAGCAGTGATCTAATCAATTTAGAAGTTTGGGCACAATGCTAAGCAAAAATATCTGTCTATATTTCAGGGCCTCAGGCAATGGCAGCTTTCAATGCAAAAGCTGTAGAATTATTTCATTTTATTACCTGGGCAAGCTCTGCCAATTAGTTCTATGAGCCTGTAAGTGCAACATTCATGGTAAACCAATGGCTTGGTTACGGGATTCTTGGGCTTTAGCTGAAATTTGGACATGGTGAGGGACCTTCCTGACTATTGATTAATATCTCAGAATTATTCAAGAGTTATTCAAAGTGGGCTGTTCACTACAAATAGCATATGGGTGATGGCTAAGATTAGGAAATACAAGATGCACATCTGAAGGGCATTCATTTTGGGGAAATTCATATAAGGCAGCCCACTTCATATGAAAAGTATGAGGAAAGAGAAAACTCTATTAAACTTGACAAGATGTAATGACTGTATTATGATTTCATAATTATTTTCCTTTCCTCCTTATTTAATCATTTAATAATGATTAAATAATTATATTATAAAATGTTAATTCTGTAATATTTAATAGAGTAAACCAAGAAAGACTTTGCAAAGAAGGTATGAGGTTTTAAAAAAAACCCACTATGTCAATCAAGTAAATAAAACAGGCTCAGGAAGTGTGCTAATAAAAGCAATACACAACTGTAAAAAAATTATCTAAAAAGCACCAGCTATTTTTATTTGGAAGAAAAAATAGACACAGATAACACTTGAGAAACAAGATCTAACCCTATTTCTTAGTCCAATTGTTCCTTCCTGTGGGTGCTCCCAAATATGTTGCTCATGGTCTGCAATGCACTTGAGGCAATTAATAATAATGGAGAAGTCCATGTTGGAGCTAGGGTCATATATTAGCCTTTTCTTCAAAATTAAGAGTGAAGGGGCAATGGTGGGATTCAATTTTTTTTTTACTACCAGTTCTGTGGGTCTGGCTTGGTGGGCGTGGTTTGGTGGGCATGGCAGGGGAAGGATGCTGTAAAATCCACATTCCCTCCCTATCAGCTGGGACTCGGGAGACAGAGAATAGATGGGCACAGGGCCAGTCAGAGGTGGTATATACCAATTCTCCAAACTACTCAAAATTTCTGCTATCAGTTCTCCAGAACTGATCAGAACTTGCTGAATACTACCTCTGAGAAGGGGAAAGGGAAAATATTTGTGAAAGGTAAAATATGTAAGGATAAGTCCAACTGGACTCTCTCAATATTCTGTAAGAGTATGTGGTCAGGATAAACAGCAGATTATTAAAATAGAAGTGATGAATAGAGTTCCTGGAGAGCTCTGGACTAAAATGTGTGACGTTATTAAGAACAGAACAATAAAAATATTTTGCAGTAGAGATATCAAAAGAAGAAGAAATGGTCGACAATACAATCTACTGAATCTGAAAGAACAAAAGTGACAAGGAGATGTATCTAAAGACACCCAACAAAGAAAGACAAAATACTTATTTAAAGAAATTAAAGTAAAAGAAACGTTTTATGCATAGATAGGTACAATCAAAGATAAAATAATTCTACTTGATACAAAGAAGTATTAGAATAAATTCATGAACTATATTGAAAAAAATGCCCAAATCACCAGTTGTTTTCCACTAAATGACACCCAACAATTTGAAAAATGAAATGACTTGCAGAAAATATTGTTAGCCTGTATTCTACTATAAGTATAAATGAATTGCTATGAGTACAGTTTAAAATTTTGTAAGATGATGCTATTAGCATGCTGCTGCTTGCAGTTTTTTTTTTAGCAAATATGAGAACCAGAACAGCAACCAAAAGACTGAAACAGTCTTCCAATAACAACTATATTCCAATAACAAAAAATAAGGTATTAAACCAAACACATTTCCATGGATAGTAGAAGAGGAACTTGAGTTTCAAAACGACTTTAAATTTTGTTTACTGATTACAGGTAGTTTTATTTAATAGTTATCTTGTTTATTAACTGTTTGCAGTTACAACAGGGATGAAATGACAAACTTGCATTTATGATCTCATAGGTTTGTAAAGCAAAGGAAAGCTGGAGTAAGATCATAAGCACAACTGTGATTTCACTTACTGACTGCTTCCCAATTTTGGTCACTGTGAGGAATAACTGTACATAATTTTTTTCTACTGCATGAAGTAGAGCATCTTGTGATTAGCCCTTAAGTACATCAGAGAACTTCATTTCTATTTATATGCTGGCTAGAAAGTGAACATTAGAATGACAAGGAACAACTAATTGGCTCAAAAGTAGAATAAAGAACTGTTAAGATTGTATATTGTCATCTTATCTACCCAGTTTATATGCAGAACCTATTAATGAGAAATGCTGAACTAGGAGAAACAAAACTTGAATTAATATGGCTAAAAAAATGCTGTTGATACCACTTGAGTATCTTGAAGTGAAGAAGACTTGAGGAATATCTATTGAAGAAGGACAAAGACCAGTCTGATGCTCAGCACAAACAAACAAACAAAGATGAGATTAACAGCAGGTGTCAAACCAAAGCAGATGAGTGAAGAAGTATCTTCTTGGGCTCAAGAATTCATAATGATAATAAATAAATAAATAAATACATACATACATACATACATACATACATTACATACATACATACAACACACACGCACGCACGCACGCACGCACGCGCACACACACACACACACATATAGGTGATGAGAGCTAAATAGCTTGAAATAGATCTATACTAGTCTCCCTTTATTTATTTATCAGCATAAATATA